TAAATGCTCTGCACAGTGCTATGCAATGTGCATGATATGTGTTTACTTAAATTGGATCTATTAAGTAAGAACGAGATTAACACTTCTACTTTACATATGAGTAAACTGAGGCAAGACACAACTTAGCGAATAGTAGATAAGCCAAAAACTTGAGGACAAGCATTTTGGATCTGGAGCCAATGATTTTAACTGCTGTGCTAGACTATCACTAAGGAAATAGGTGATTTCCTGCCCTCAATGGTGTCAACTCCTGAGTGTCTCCTTTGGAGAGCAACTTTTAATTCAGCCGTTGCTTCTGGTTGGGCCGTCACTGGTATCAATTTTCAAATGCAAGGTTAAATTAAAGACTAGGGAGAAGGTGCCACCTGGGCAGAGCAAGTGTAATTATGTGTATGTATGTTAGGGCTTGGAGGTAGTGTTGGGACGGCAGAGACCTGGACCCAAACTCTTTAAAGATTTTCTGTACCTTTGGTATCTTCTCATGCATTCCTAAAGTGGTGGGCTTTCTCTCCTTACATAAGGTGAGACCTGAGGTTTAAGCAGCCAGATACACTAGCTGAGGGCTATCTGATACTTTGTGTCTGCCTTTCTTCAAGATGGATTATTATATTTATTAGCTAGGACTGCTATAACAAAGTACCATGTACCTGTGTCTTGAGAAAAGGAATTTAACCTTTCATGTTCTGGAGGCTAGAAATCAAGATCAAGGTCTTAACAGGTTTGATTCCTTCTGAGGTTCCTGAAGGTAGGATCTGTTCCAGGTCTTTTCCCTTGACATTGAGATCTCTGTCTTCTTCTCCGTTTCTTTACATGGCTATGCCTTTCTACCTGTCTGTGTCCAAATTTTCTCTTTTTATAAAAATACTGATAATATTGGATGAGGACCCACCCCAACTGACCTCATGTTAATTTAATTACTTTAAAAGGCCCTATTTTGTAATATGGTCACATTCTTGGTATAAGGAGGATTAATGGACTTTGACATGCAAATGTTGGTGGAGGGGCACAATTCAGCCCACATCAATGACACAGTTTCCCTTACTCTCTTCGTAGAATTCCATTACTCCAAAATAAAGCACGTACACTGGCTAAGCCAGAAGTGACAAGTGAGCATTTAATCAATTTGGAGGCATTTTAGAAGAGTTAGGGATTACCTTGTGGGCTGAAGAAATACAACATGAGGGGCAATATCTAGGATTGGTCCTCATTTTTAATTATATAGTTTCAAATAGTTGTTGGGGAGCCCCTGGAAGTGGTTCTCATCATTCTCTTTAATGAAGATGTTGGGATAATAATCCTTATTCCCACTTACCCCAAACTACCTGATTCCTACAAGCCTCCAAAGATTACAGAAACATTGTCTGGCTTGCTCTGTGGCAACGGTGTGGCCTTTTTTTTTCTAGGAACACAATTTCCATAATTTTTGCATTAGAAGTAGAAGTCCCTGAAAAAACTGGTTCATCACAGTCTACCTATGCCAGGGCTCTATCTGTGGCATAATGCAATCTAAGGCACTTAAAACGACTACAGGAAGAGACATAGTGAAGAGATTCATCCTGCCTGGTTTATAGGAATCACAGATTCTCAAGTTGCTGGAATGACTCATATTTTAAGCTCTCTTTCTCAGACAAAGACATCCAGTGCATGGAGAACCTTGCTGGCCTTTAATGGAACAACAAAGCACTCGTCTTCCATGCTTTTTGTCATCCATCTTTGCTCCAACAACCTTTCTTCACCTGTTCAGTGCCTCTGGCTTTTTTCTGCCCAATGGTGTTCAATGCTTCCAAAATCCTAGCTACTTCTCTTCCCAGTGAGGCCTTCTAGGTTCACCTAACGTTTCTAACTAACCCTCTTCCCCAGTCCCTAGCTCTTCAGAATGTCACAGATGATAGGAATCCCACTGCCTTGGTGAACACCTCATTTTATTTTTGAAAGACTTCTAATTTTTATAAATAATCTTTGTCTTTGGAAATACAGTCTCAGCTCTATCTAACTTCATGTGTCAAACCCAGACTGCCCTCAACCAGTCCTGATTAACCAGTTGAGCTCATCTTCTGTTTTTCCACTGAACTGCTATTTCTCCCTTGAAATCCCCTCATGTATGTAGCCTTAGTCTTCTATGCCTTGGGTAGGCAGTACCAATACCATAACAACATCTTTGGCCATGGACTTGGGCACCATATTGGGACCTCACTTCTTTGAGTGGATCCTAACACGTTCCAGTGGGCCAAAATTGAAATATGCAGATAGTCTTCTTCATCTTTTATGGCTCAGACCAAATGCTACCTTTTTGTGGAAAAGCTTCCTTGTTGCTACTCAAATACCCGATAATCAATAGCCCCTTTCATCGTATGCCCTCACACATTACTTTGTGTACATTATTTTGCTATAACACTTACTACAGTTCATCCTACCCACTAATTTACATTTTCTTTTTGAACTTTTCTGACCAGAGACTATGTCTTAATTGTTACTGTACCTCTGTTCCTGGTTCAGAATAGGGGGTTCACATGTATTTATTGCTTTTCTGATTAAAGAAACCAATGTTAGAATTCAGTTACCATGAGAGGGCTGAAAGGAAATATCTTTGTTCAAGGATATTTTGATGTTTCTCAGATCAGATCCTTTGGGGTTATCCTGGATGATGTATATTGAAATTATCCAGGTCAGGCTGAGAAAAGCAGGGAAAGAGTGTAGTGTGGAGTACCTCTGAGATTTTCTGGATGTTTCTGTCTGTTCCAGCATAAATCATAGCTTGTATCTTGTAGTATCAAATTTTACCTGGTTTCCCCAGACCCTCCCTCCAGTTAATGAAGCTTGACATTCACTGTCTTTTCTCTTCTCAGTAAGGGGCACATAATCACCACGCTTTCTTCTTTACTTCTCTAAGATGAAAAATACAGGACAAAAGTTACCAAAAATGCTTCCTTCCTAGAAGGAACCAAATACATGAAGCCAAAACACATCTCTCTCTCAAGGTTTCAAAAAGGAATTTTTTGCCAACTTGCTGTGTCATTTGTTTGCTTGCTGATGTTATGTGAATATATTCCTGGATATCTTTAAAATCCTTAATGCACTGGGGTTAAGTCTCAGACCTTCCTGATATAATTCTTTTTCTCCAAACAATAAACAAGTGAAGAAGTTTGAATATGGTTCTTTATCTTCAGGGCAGTTGCTAAGATCCTCTTGCAACCAAAATATATTTTTCAAAGGCTAGAAAGGGTTCATTTTCTCAAACCTCCGTGATAGCCTTGGCCTACCTATCTATGCAGATAATGGATATCCATGAAACTATTCAAAATTCTTCAAGGACAAAAAGAAAAAGCCTGAAAACTTGCTCCCACCCTGCAGTTGTCTTTTTCTTTTACTGTTTCTGACTCAGTCCAGTATTTATAAGGTGGCCTAGCGATTTATGGCACCCAAAGACTTTTCAACAGCCCAGCCAATGAGATACTACTGTGAGTTGGATTGTTCTACTCCAAGATTGGATATGTCAGTTCCTATAGTAATCTAGGATGCTCCTTCAAGATACTGCTGTAGGATTGCTTCATGTGGTACTTATCATTTAGTGGAGTGGAAAAACAAATTCTCAGAAATAAATTAGTGCAGGGAGAGAGTTTTGCATTTTATGTAGGAGGGGGAGCATACTGGGAGGGTCATGATAGAGATCCGAAAGCTAACTTCTAGGTCTTTGTACTGGGCAAGAAAGATTAGTATCTCACTCTCTGTATTTTAGACATCTAAAGGAAAAGTGTCACAGAAAGTTCAAAAGGAGAAATATTGAAAACTAAATAAAGGATGTTCTTTGATACTTGAAATAGATGTTTAAAGATTAAAATCATTTTACAACACTTTTTGGAAATTTGCACCTATTCCTAATGTCTGTCTTAAGCTGACAGTATTATTTGGGGATGATAACTTCACCGCAAGCATAATTAGTTAGGTATGCCTGGGACAGTGCCTTAATTACATGTGATCAGTGTTGTAGAAGCCACCAGTGACTTCTCTCCCGAGTCATGTGTCTCTATCAGAGACAAAATAATGGGCCACGAATGTGTCCACGATGCAGGGGCTTATTTATTACGCTACGAGCATGAACATGTTAGACCTGCCTGATTTTATTATAATGCCTAAGGTTGTCGATGAGGCTCTGCCAACCACTGGGGGGAGGCCTCTGTAGACTCTTCTTCCTTTTCTACTTACAAACAAGGCAAGAGAGGGTGGATGTAGCCCAGAGAAGTCAAGATTACTTTATTAAGATGCATCTGAGCTCCAGGCAGGGCTCATTCCAAGGAATGCTGAACTGGGAAGAAAATGGTGGTGGCGGGGGGCGTCCCTGGATGGTTAGTGCAAATACAGTTGTCAAGATGCAGAGCAAGGGTGTTGTTTAGTATTGAAATCATGTATTCCAGATGTGGGCATTTGGTAGTCAGTCTGCTCTGAAGTGACATGCTGCTGAATCTTTAAAGGGCTTCAGCTGGGGAGAGCGAAATCTGATTGGGCAAATTGCTAAAATATTTAAAGTGCAGCCTGTTAAAGCTTTTACTGCAAAGAGCATCACGTCAGAAGTTGTAGTCAGAAAGAGTGAGTAATTGGCTTTCCATCCTCATGCCAGTCAGTCAGCATGAGGCTCTGTTCCCATTCCTTTCTCTTCATTGCCGATGCTAATAGCAACCCTTTGGGGTGTGAGTGTGAGCGCTGGGAAATTTGATAGCTGGTGAAATGAGAGAATATGGAGAGGAATGGCTGCAAAAAGGAAGCTGAATCCGCACAACGGAGTGCAGCCCAAATAGGCAAACAGAGGCAGGAGAAGGGCAGAATCGTTACTTGACAAAGTAACTGGCACCATCCGATGAATGGTGGGTCTACAAGCAAGAGCACGACCGGCAGGGGCAGTTGGCCTCCTCTACATCTCGGATCTCTGAGATGTAACTTGGGGCACTTCCCAGTTATGATTTATTACGCTCTGTGCTCAGGTTTCCCTGTCCTCGTCTCCCCAGGCACGACCCCTTGTTAATTCCCGGGAATGATCAGATTGACAACATGGACTCCAATGTGAAGAAGTACGACTCCACCGGGATGTTTCATTGGTGTGCTCCCAAGGAGATGGAGAAAGTCATCCTGGTGAGTGAGGGATTCTGGAATTGCCAAGTTGTACCTTTCTTTCTGGTGCTACCTGTCCTTGGGAATGAGGTTTTCCAGACTGGATGGCGAGATGATATAGTTCCTGGTCATAATCATTTTTTATGAGTGAAATTCCTAACAGAGACTTGGGTATCGGGTATCAAGACCCGCAATCAGAACATGAGCTGAGAACAGAATTTTCAATTTCTGAATATTTACGTGCTCATTAGTGTAGCGGTAATCCCGTGCTGTGGGTGTGAGGCATCATGGGCCGCAGAATGTGGCTGATTTCTGTCCAATTGCCTCTAGGATCAGAGCTGGCTTGGGCCGTTTAGGAGCTGCATAGCCATGAGTAGGGTTTCTTCACTCTCTGTATTTCAGTTCTTTCATCTATAAAAAGAAAAAAAAAACCCAAAACGACCCCAATGTACAGTATATTATTGTCGTGAACATTAGAGTCAAACATAGGGCTTCATAAAGTGACTTGTTGTTTTATATCTTCTTCTTCTTCTTCTTAAACACCACAAAGAAATGTGAATGTGGCCTTATTGTCATTTGCTTACAACTATGTTTTGTATCCTTATAAACAACAGCCGTGTGCATCTGGGATCCTTCCTAGTGCACATTGTAGAAGGGCATGCGCATTTGTGGATGATGACAACGCAGAACAACGGTCCTCTTGGGGAGGCTGGGGCTCAGATCCTTCTTTCATGGATGGCTCTCCAGTGTCTCAGCAGCAGCAGTGGGCTTCTACTGCTCTGTCCCAGAATGTCAGCACAGATAACAGTCCATTCTACTCTCTGCATTGGCCCTATTAACAGTTTTAGCTGCCTACATCAGCTTTTCCTAGAGTTTATTGTCATGCTAATCCATGAAAAATGGATTAATAATCAGGAAGGTCAGATGGAAAGGTTCTTTCTCCTTTGTGCCTCTAATCCCCAGATTTCTGTGCAGCAGCTCCTTTGTCTGCCAGGAAAAGCCTATCATTCTTGAAGTCGGGGCCACCCTTCCTTAAGAAGGATTGTTCCCGGTCTTCAGAACAGCTTTGTACTCTAATCCACTACATTTTTTCCTGTGTTTTATCAACTTAATTATAAACAAGCATTGTGATGTAATGCAGCATTGCATCGGAGGCTGACTTAGAGGTACGACAGTGGTGAGCAAAAGCAGAGGAAGTTAAAATTCCCAGCAAGTGTCCACTGTGTAACTTAACAGGAAAGAAAATGGTTCTAGCCACAAAGCTGCTTTCTGCACTTAGCTTCTGTTATATCCATCACACCTTTACCTTCCTGGTCTCAGTTCAACCTGGTGTTTCCTTCCTGTGTCAGGTCATACGTAGGTTGTTTGATCTGAAATCCAGGGTGCTAATAACTTGCCTAGATTTTTCTGGGCAGTGTATGCTAATGGATATCTGATCAACATCACCTACTGGAAGGAAAGCATTTAGGAAGATGAGTTCATCTGAAAAATAATATTTAGCAAAACATTTATAGCAATCTGTCTTAGTTGATTTTCTCATTGCTGAGACAAAATACCTGGCACCCAAAGTTAAAGTAGGAAAGATTTATTTTTAGCCCACAGTTGGTAGCGGTTTCAGTCCATAGTTGGCTGACTTCAAGGCAAGGTGGCATGGCAGAAGGGCATCACAGAGAAGAAATAACAGTTCATGACATGGAAGGCATGAGGCAGCAGCAGCAGCGTGCCTCTCTCTTTTATCCTTCCCAGGCTACCTGCCTTTTGGGTGGTGCCACCCACACCCAGGGTTGGCCTTCCCACTATCCATACCCAGAACCATGCTAAATCAGTCAGTGAACGGATTTAGTAATCATGCACCCTTAATCCTAGCATCACGAATCTTAGATCCAGCCACCTCTAGAAAGCCCCACTTACGACTGCATGAGGCTTTGAGGGGACATCTATATACAAGCCATAACACAAATGTATGATGTGTTAGGCGCCACCCTAATTCTGGAGGTATAATACCCAGAGCTTATACTCCAGCGGAGCAAAGAGAAAACTTGTAGGTAGTCAAATGAGTGCATGATAATATTTCAGATAATGATAAGATGCTATGAAGCCAATAAAGCGGTATTCTGGGCTAAAAGTGGACTGGGAGGCACCATTTAGACAGAACGATACAAAGAGCCCTCCCTAAATTAACACTGGGGTGGATGTGAATGATAGGAAGGGTTACCTGTGTGCTCATGAAGTGGGGTTGTGTTTACCCGCAGGGTGTAGGATACTAAAAATGGCTTTGAGGGTTAGAATGTATGAGATGGTTCCAGTTTTTCAGGCCATTATCATCTATGTGAAGGAAAGATGTAATTTAACTGTAGAATAGTCTCTTTAAAGCTAAGTAACATGAGGCACAAAATACTATTCAAATTTAGGGAGAAGCACTAGCAATGCTTTGAGGGTTAGAATGTATGAGATGGTTCCAGTTTTTCAGGCCATTATCATCTATGTGAAGGGAAGATATGTAATTTAACTGTAGAATAGTCTCTTTAAAGCTAAGTAACATGACGCACAAAATACTATTCAAATTTAGGGAGACGCACTAGCAAGTGTTTAAGAAGCCAAGATATCCCACCATGTGCAAGCAAGTTGTGCTTGGAAGGGGTTTAAGGCCATGAAGGCTGAGTTTGGGTTGGGCATTGAAGGATGAACAGGAAACACAGGATGCATAGCAGAAGCATACAAGTAGTTTCTTGGTTTTAAACCTACCAAAATCAGACTTTCCAGAGCCAAGGTACAGCGATATGTATTTTTGCCAAGTTTCCCCGGTAATGTTGCTATGGCTCACTTGAGAACTGGAATTTTGGTCCTAGATCTAACCTCCTGGGGGCAGCATCTATTCCTGGGCCACTGTCCTAACAGGTACCGATCTCCCCCCTGCAGGATTCATCCTGAACCCAGTTTTTATTGGTCTGCCTTGTTGAGGGGAGCTAGCTTCCCAGGTGACCTGTCCAATTAAAAATAATTTGGAGCATCAGCACAGCATGTCACAGACTGGTTGACTCTCTGCTTGTGGTACCCAGGGACTTACACTTCCATGCAGCCTGCAAAACTAACTCTCATTCTTCTCCGTGAAGCAGTGATAGGTGATGTGAGCTCCCTGGGTTGGGGTGGGGGTTCCCTCTTTGGTCTTAGTAAGACATTTCTTACAGCCTATGCCTCAGGTTTCCCGGTACTGCTGCAGAAGGAAACCAATAATGGTGACAGCCCCTGCTTTATTCTAATGACCAGGGAATGAGAGCTAGCTTCCTCCTCTCCTTGGGGGTTACTATAATAACGCTGACATTGTCTTGAATTGCAATATTGGCATTTAAACAATCAATACACTGGTCAATGCTAGGGATTAAATCAAGCAGTGTTTGATATGTGCCGTGAACATTAATATGCCTCCTCCAAAGCGTTGTAAGCCACATGGGACCATTCACGCATGTGGTGAGTGGACAGGAAGGAAGGCAGGCAAGGTGGGAAGCATTGGACTAGGACCAAAGGGCCAAAAAAGATCCATGATTAGCTTCCTTATATTGTCTCTTTGCTAGCAAAAAGGCCAGCAGTGTTTAACCATTGGAGATTAGAGTCCTCCTCTGCATGGGGATATTTCATTTGTCTTCTTTGTAAATGTGTACCTGAGATCACATAGAATGAGGGAAGGCATTCGCCTGTTGCTCTTACTGACGTGTCTTGGACCCTTCTAATGATTATTTTGGGATTCTTTCTTATATAAGGTGAGTCCTCCCAGAAATGCCCCTGGAAACCTCAAGCAGGCCTGGACAAGGGTTAGCACATTTGTTCTAGAAAAGGCTGTATCTTGAATGATTGAGGTATCATGGGCTGTATGATGTCTGTTGCAGTTGATCAGCTCTGCCATTGTAACATGAAAGTAACCATGGGTGAACTTTGTTGGATTCCAATAAAACTTTATTGGAATTTGAATTTCAATATAATCTTCACATAGGATGTCATAGCCTTGTTTCCATTTTTTAAAACCATTGTGAAGTACAAAAATCATTTTCAGCTCACTGAACTTATCAAAGCCTGAAGCACCAGATGGAGCCTGAAGGTCACTTGCCAGTCCCTGGCTTGGGATAGCATGTCCCACTTTCTGGTACCATGACATACTGTGTCACCCCATTGATAAACCTAGAATGCAGTACTCAGATATCTTGAGCTGAGATTCACAAAGGGACCTGACCATTTTATCATCATTCAGCAGGAGAGCTTGAAAAGACATACTATTTTACCAATGATTTCACTGAAACTAAGACTTCCCTGTCTAGACAACGTAAATATTACTCTTTCCTTCCTGAAAGTCATTATGAAATAGTCCTGCTTACATAAATGTATAGCATATTTTTCTTCAATCTTTTGCCTGAGAAGGTCATGATATGTGTAGCTGTATGTTTACATTGTATTATTTATGTTTGTTACATAAATGCAGTGTAAACACACGTGCTCACATAACTTATCTATATGACATGTATAGCACATGACATTGATGAACTGTATTAGTTACTACAGTGACATATCTGTGGCAGCTAACTTCTGAAGAGAAAAGGTTTATTTACAGGCTGAGGAGTCTAAACTCCAAGGCTGGGCTGCCCCATTTGGTCTCTGAGAAGTGGTAACATTGTGGCAAGGGGGCATGCGTGAAGGTGATGACACCTAGAGCAGTGCAGAGAGAATGAGGACGGAAGAGGCCAGGTTTGTTCCTCTTACAGTGATCCTCCTGCTAGAATTGAAGAGTCACGTGAGGACTACCAAAGGATCACAATGTCACCCTAGGCACCAGGCCCTTATTCAGAGTGGACCCTTGGGGAACACTCAGGCCACATACAAATCATAGCCATCGAACATAGTAAGTACTAAGCAAATGTTTTGTTGACCTGTTGCACCAATGCTTTGTTTTTCCCTCCTTACAGATCTATGATGTCCTTTCTCTAATACGCTGGCATTTTTCCTTGTCACAGACTCGAAGTGAGGCCGCCATGACCGTCTTGAGCGGTCACGTAGTGGTCTGCATCTTTGGTGACGTCAGCTCAGCCCTGATTGGTCTCCGGAACCTGGTGATGCCACTCCGTGCTAGCAACTTCCATTACCACGAGCTCAAGCACATTGTGTTCGTGGGCTCCATTGAGTACCTCAAGCGAGAATGGGAAACACTCCATAACTTCCCTAAAGTGTCCATACTGCCTGTAAGTCCAAGGTCACATTATTGATGCTATTGAGGCTTTTTTCTTTTACTTTTCATTCATAAAAGAAAATCTCAGGTGGATATAATCTTTATAGCTTTGATCATGCCTCTGCTTCTTCATCTGGGCCTGAGGATGCAGCCCTTCCCCTATGCATTGTAGAGGAGAACACAAACCCTGAGAGGCCTTATTAAAAAGAGCTTGCAACCCAGGTCAGCCCCTCACCAGGGATGAAGTCTAGCTGGTATCATTTATTAACCATATCAGTGTCTAAATATTTTTTTCCTCTTGCCTGCACAAAACATACAGCATTGTGATATTGTGATGCTTACACTAAGAATTTACTCATATAACTGTTTATGACATTTTACTTATGACATTGTTAAGCTTCAAGAACCCTCAATCTGAACCAGCTTCTGACTAAATAAATGTAAATAATAAGTAAATTATTTATTCTGTACAGAAGGCCAAACCTTTCTCTAAGCAGCTCCCCATAACCATCTAGTTAGAAGCTCAATGTTTTCAATGGTTTCTGTGGTGTGTGTGTGTGTGTGTGTGTGTGTGTGTGTGTGTGCGCGCGTGAGCACATGTATGCATGATATTATTGATTGTAAAATACAAGGACCCCAATCTATAATGAACAATTTTGAGCTCCAATAGGCCAAACCTTTCTCTAAGCAGCTCCCCATAACCATCTAGTTAGAAGCTCAATGTTTTCAATGCTTTCTGTGGTGTGTGTGTGTGTGTGTGTGTGTGTGTGTGTGTGTGCGCGTGCGCGTGCATGCGCACATGTATGCATGATATTATATTGATTGTAAAATACAAGGACCCCAATCTATAATGAGCAGTTTTGAGCTCCACAATTTCATGTAAGGCTATGGGCTATTTTATTCATGTATCTACCACTTCTTAATCTACTGCTATGTATTTCCGACAAACTTTCAAAAAACTATAGAGCATATGCTCTTTAACATTTGATATAGCTGCATATGCAGCAAACCAATGCAAATATTACTTCTCCTCTGGACATTTTTCTTTTAAGTTTATATCCAAAAAACAGGAACATGGGATTTTTCTGCATGTTAGGAGGTGTGCATTTACCTTTATCTAGGAAGCTAAAATTCATTATTTCTCTTATCAGCTTCCAGAGTCTCAGAAATAGAAAAAAAAAGAGCCAAGTAATATAATTGATTAAAGAATACATAAGGATGTATCCACAAGTAGTACCCACTAGCAGCTACCATTTGTCTGATATAATGCCAGACATAATCAGTCCTCAATAAATATTTAAAGGAGTGAAAAAATATCAGACAGATCTCTTTCGGATGCAGAGCCAAATCTGATTGCTTTAGTGAACATATGTAATTAAAGATGGATGCCTACAGACAATCAGAAAGCCACATACTTTTTTTTTTTTTTTTTTTTTTTTTTGGCATCAGGGATCAAACTCAGGACCTTGCACTTGCAAGGCAAGCAAAGCGCCACTGAGCTAAATCCCCAGCAAAAACCATATACTTTTAAGAATATAAATATATACTGTGCATACTTTTGCTGGTTTCAGGAATATGGCAGATTTGATTGTAATATTTCTGTGATCATCATGCTAATATGCTGTTTCACATGGTTGCTTGACCTCTAAAAACCTTATGAGTCTGTGTGCGTGTTTGTGGAGTGTTGGGTGTGATGTTTGCTATTCATGTGTACATGTCATGTGTGTATGTTTGATTCTGTGTGCTCTCACCTGCTTCTATCAGTATAAATAAACTGTAGTATTTGTGGATCCTTTTCAAATCCGCCAAATGTAGCATACTCAGGCATAGGAGATTTGCACAGATTTTCACATGTTATTGTTTAAACAGTAAAGGGCCTACATAAAGGGCCACCCTCTCTCCCCAAAGCCCAAAGTCACTTTGTAGGAAGGGGAATGAAAAATATCCAGGTTATACATATAGATATGCATATTTGGATATAGGTACAGATTTAGATTGAGGTAGAGATAGAGAAATCAGCTAGCAAGCTCTTATCCAGAACACACAATGAGTTGAAGGCAAGTGGGGTCAGTGCAGGCCAGGCAGAGATGGAGGAACAAGAGGGCTGGTGACTGAATGGGAGCCCCAAAGCAATGCTGAATGACTGCTGGGGAGCTCAGACATAGACTGGCCTAATTAGTTTTGCTGTGACCCCTCCTGAGGACACAGAGCTTATAGAGGTCATGGCCCTATCCTTCTATTTTACCAGTGGTTGCAACCCCAGAATTTCTGTCATTACCTCCTAGATCTATATTTTTTTCCACTGTCTTACGTTGTTATGTGACTTTTAAAAAATATGTTTACTGGCTTATTTATTTTTAATTACCCAGTAATATACAAATATGTTCTTGCTATAAAATATTCAAGCAATATAGAAGTATATAAAGTCAAAAGCAAACTTTCCCCTTCCTCCTCTCCATCCTTTTCCTCTCCCCAGAGGTAATTACTGTTATTAGTTGAATGTGTATTTTCCGAGTTTTCTCTTTGCATTTACATATATTTAGAAATACATTTATAAATATATAATTTGATTTGGAGGGTGTTTTTTTTGCATAATTGGAGTTGTACTTTTTTGAATTGTTCTAGAACTTTTTTCACTTACCACTCTTAGAGATCTTTTTCAAGTCAGTGACTATACAGGGCGCTAGCTCCCTCTCTACTTGCTGCATACTTTGCTGCTGTGTCCTGGTGTAGCAGTGCCCTCAACCATTCCTATGTTGTTGTATCAGCAGGTGATTTCCCTGCTCTATTTTTTGTTGAAAATACGCAATGCAATTATAAGATCAGAAGCTATCTCTCCTGTGCGAGGTGTGCATTCATTCCACTCCCTTCTGTATCCTCCAAATTAAGCAGAGCTTCCAGACCCACCTTATCACATCCTGTTTGCTCTGTTTTCCCCCTGGCTGCATTGGAAATTCTAGTTGGAACTGTTGTCATTTGCCTGAGATAGAAGTGACCTGCTATTAAATAAACAGGCATTTGAAACCCACCCCCTTGTTACATTCTGAAAGCCAGAGGTTGCCACAGGACAGTTACTTAAATCAAGACAATTTCCAGGCAGGAAGAAGATGTAGACCCTGGCATTATTCCTCTCGTGTGTTTGTTAGTAATAGCTTGATTGAGTATTGAAAGCCAGCCTGAAATGCTGCCATCAGCACCGACTACCCTTTAGATTAGCACATGGCCCCTATTCCCTGAAATGCAGTTAGGCTAGCTTAATGTCAAGGCATAAAAAAGATACTAGTTAAATAATTTCCCAGAGCTTTGGCTCAATCTTTAATTTGTTTTTATTTTTTCCCTCCTTCCCTTTCTCACTTTGACACCTCTCTCTCTCTCTCTCTCTCTCTCTCTCTCTCTCTCTCTCTCTCTCCCTCTCCTTTTTTCCCCTCTATGCCAAAGGGTACGCCATTAAGTCGGGCTGATTTAAGGGCTGTCAACATCAACCTCTGTGACATGTGCGTTATCCTGTCAGCCAATCAGAATAATATTGATGATACTTCGCTGCAGGACAAGGAATGCATCTTGGCGTCACTCAACATCAAATCTATGCAGTTTGATGACAGCATCGGGGTCTTGCAGGCTAATTCCCAAGGTAAGGACAGGCTGTAATACTTTTCTGCTGTGCCTACGGGGGACAGGGGCTGGCAAGAGGGATATCCTTCACTCAGTAATTCAAAGAGGCTCACATCAGCCTGCCTGGCAGTGAAACCTGTGGTTGTCGTCACAGCTTTCAAAGAGGCATCTGCTGCTGCTTCTCCTTTCCATCCCAGGCTTCATCCCTCCTTTCTCTCTCCCTTTCTCTCTCCCTCTCTCTCTCTCTCTCTCTCTCTCTCTCTCTCTGTCTCTCTGTCTCTCACACACACACTGTGTTGCCCTCCCTGACAATAAGCACATTGTTAAATGGCCTTCTCCTCAGCTTCTCTGCATGGTGGCTTTAAGGCTAGGGTCACTTGCTAAATGTCAGAGCACTAAATAGATGCAGGCTGCACAATCCCCATGGTGGCCTCCAGTATGCATTTTTTGCCATTGCACTGAGATGGGTGTGTTGAGCTCTGCATTGTTAGGGCTGCATCTAAGACTCTGCTGACCAGGGAATGGTAACCTCCAGGAAGAGGGGACTGTATGGACACAGAGAGTCATTTAGTAAGAATTGACATTTCTCAGCCCACACATGTTGTGCCTAAGGAGGCACAACAGCCTTAAACAACACAGATCTGCCTTCTTCTATGCCATTTTCCCTGTCATTTGCTGTAGGATCCTGGGCAGGTGGATACAAGTAAAGATGTCATCTAGAAGTCTCAGAGGGGAGGCACAGCAGAAATCCATAGCAAATGACCTCTGGAGTCAGGATATAAAAGGACAGGATGAAATGTATTCTCCTCCTAGTGACACCTCTGGGAGTTTGCCATAAGTACAGGATGGTTGTCATATGTGACTGCTGGGCAGGTGGCACTGGTTGGCTGATGGCAGCTGAAGCCTATTGTTCCAAGATGGGGAGTTGAGGGAGCACAGCTCATGAAAACCATAGCTGATAAGATAGGAAGCACAGCCTGACAGCCAGGAAAAGCTCTCCATGCAGGGCTTTCAGGAAGATCAGCTCAATCCCTGCCACGCAGCCTAGACCTGTGCACGCCATTATCCTTTCTTCAACGCCACGATCTTTTGTTAACTGGGCTTTGCCACCTCCTTCCAGTGTTGTCCCAGCATTGCGGCAAAGCCACGAGCAATGATTCCTGGAAAGCGCCCCTCTGTGGACTCGCTTCCTTTCAGGAGGTCTGGGCAGAGCCCATCAGTGGGAGAAGGGTAGGGGTGAGTTCTGAAGAACGGAGAAAGAGAGGCCATGACTCTAGGGGCAGCTCCTGCCAGGCTGTGAGTAAACTTGAGGTCTCAGGCCACTCTCAGCGGGGGTTGACTCCTGAGAGCCAATGGCACTGTTACTGGGGACAAGGAAAGAGGATGGGAACTTCTCTGAGGGTCTTGAGATCTATATAGCTTCTGTTCAAGCTCGGAAGAACCTTGCTCTTTGGTGTTGCTTGTGAGATACTTACTGTGGCTTCCTTGTCTTTGGCTTCCTCAGGCCATTTGATGGTTGTGTCAACCTGTGATTTTCCTCAGACATGAACTAGAGGGACCTACATTCTTCCCACATAACCCTGTCTGGAAACAATGTGTCAAGGCTCTAAGAAAAGCCCTGAGCTCTTAGGAGCAGCACAGAGAGGAGGGAGAAGCTGCTCCAGCAGCGTGGATAAAAGATGATGTGGGAAGACAGGAAGTGAAGAAGGCGGGCTGGCACTCCTTCCCTGACTTTAAGTCCTGTTCACCAATGCACCCTCCCTGCCTTCACCTTAGTTACCTGGGGGAGTTGGCTGGAGATGCATAATGTCTTAGCCCAGCCCTCACATACCTGTCAGAATCTGTGTTCCAACAAGATAACCAGGTGGCTTGGATGTGCTGCTCTACAGCACCATAAGTCTTCACGCTAACAAAGCCAGGGCAGTGAACACATTGGCTGACCTGATTGGATGTGCCTTCTGTACCTTAGAAGAGCCATCAAAGGGGAGGGAAAGAAGCAGAAGCAGCAGCACACCTCCTGGGTAGAGGTAAAGGAGGCAGGAAAGCCCTTTCTTTTCCCTGTGCTCCTGGTCCTCTCAGTTTAATCCTCATGATTTTCAAGGTCTGTAGATGAGAACCTCAGTGTGCGATTTAGTCCAGGCTTTTGTAAACTTACCTCTCCTCTCGGATACTATGTAGTGGCCAAATTGATACTAATACTTTCCCCTCCCTAAGGTTCAAAAACTGCTTATGCTTTTTAATCACAGGAATACAAAAAAATAGGTTTGGCAGAAGATAGGCAAGAAGGAGACTGGGAGTTGATTTTTTTCCTTTAAAGAACAGAAAAAAGACCCTCTTATATGTACATGTGTGCACACTGCTATGTCTCAATGTCTGTGTCCCCTCAAAAATTTTAATGTTGAAATCCTAACCCATGAAAGGTTAGGAGGCGGGGCCTTTGGGAGGTGGTTGGGATGGTGTCCATGTGAATGGGATTAATGCCCTATAAAATAGGACCACGAGAGGCTCTGCACACATTTACCATGGGAAGGCACTGTTTATGAACCAGAAAACAGCCCCTCACCAGACAGTAGATCTGCTGATTCCTTGATCTTGGACTCACCAGCTTCCCCAACCATGAGAAGTAAATAGCTGTTGTCTATAAGCTGCCCAGGTTATGCTATTTGTTTCGGTGACCTAAATAGTCTAAGATATACACTCACTAAAGAAGGCAGGGACTAGGTTTCTATATCCAGTAGCCACTCTCCTGGCCTCCTGCTCAAGTGTAGAGTGGAACTTGTTCTTCCCAGGAGCCAGCGCTCTGTTCTCTTTTTGTGGACAGAATGTGGAAGCTGTCAGCCACCAAGCCCATATTTCCCCTTATTTTCTTACCCCGTTTGCTTCTCTCCCACCCTTGGTTATGGACAACATGCGCTGACACTCTGACCTTGCACAGACAGTGGTCCAGTGTTGTCAACACAGAGAAGTGGCTTCCGCCCCAGTCTTTTGGCCATGGCCCTGCACCCAGCCCCTTGGGTACCTCCCAGCCCATGAGCCAGGTGGGGAGCTGAGTCTCTCAGCCACTCTTCCTCTCTGACACTTGTTTGAACAACTAGGAATCCCGCTCGCCTCAGACACTTTCTTCTCCCTCTGAGCATTAGGCATGACCAAGCTCCAGAAGGATTAGAATTACAGGGAACAAAATGGACTTCATGTTACTCTTCTAGGGAAACAAATTGAAATCCCCATGAGTGATAACCGCATAGTTTTCTTACCACCATCACCCCAAATTTCATTATACAGTCTCGTGTTCTTTATGAAAACCCCAACCTCAGCTTTGTCCTAAAGATATGTTATCATCTCTCCAGATCCCAGACGAACAGAAGTGTTGACTTAGGACAGATGTGCTCTGGGGCCAGAATATTCCTACAGCCTTATTGAAAGTTTATCTAAAGTGATACAATGGAACATGGAACATGTGTCTCCACATTGAGATGTGGAGCCCCCACTGGGATTTGTGTCTAGGCGCTTGCCACTGTGTGTTATTGGGCCTCTTCTCTGCACCTTTCTTCCCTTTTCACATTCCCTTTTGGTGTCACTTTTCTAGCCCACACCATGTCAGAACTGACCCAGCCTAGGGAGTCTGGCGCAGGCACACTCTGAAACGATAGGAGATGTGATGGCTGGTTGTCAAAAACAATTAAAGAAAAAGGTGGCATTGCCCATGCTGGATGGTGTATCAGATGTGACATTTGGGTCTATGAGATGCAGTTTTAATATAGAGCAGGCAAAACTGCAGTGACAATTATATAAAGCCGGTGAAGTCGCTTCTTGCTGGTCAGCAAACATCAGCTCAGAACCACTTTACAGCTCTTTACCAGCAACTAAGTGCCTTTATTTACAGAGTGCCTGTCACTTCCCTTTGGCTGGAGAGCAGTGTATTATTTAGCACGCATTTTATCTGGGGAAAACATTTCAATTTAAATCAGTTGGTAGAACAGTGGCTCTTGCCAGATTGTTTCCCTGTGGTTCTAAAAGATAAGAACTGAGTCTGATCTTCGAGGGTAGGTGAGCAAAGGAAGGTTCTATTCTCAGAGAACCTTAGGAGTCAGTGCCTAAAAAGAGGGAGCATGTGATGGAGATTTTCATTCTTCTTTTCTATCAAAATGGGAAATGAGGGCTGGGGATTTAGCTCAGTGGTTCTGCCGCCTGCCTTGCAAGCTCAAGGTCCCAAGTTTTATCCCCAGTACCAAAAAAAAAAAAAAAGGAAATGAACATATTATAGTTTCTGTGCTCATTTCCCAATAAGGGTAACTCTTAAGGGAAAGAAAGGGGAATAAATGAGTGTCCCACCCATGCATCAGCTGCTGTAAAGGTTCAGGAGACAAAGATGGCTTGGATTCAAACTCTTACTATTCTAGAGGGTCTGAAGGAGTGGAGGCAATATCTCTGTAAACAATGACAGTGTAGTGAGACAAAGACCAGGCTAGAAATTGAGCCCAGAGGGTCCTCATTTTATGCATTTCTAAGCCCGCAGAAGGTTTCCAAGAATAGGTAACAGCTGTGGATGAGTTGAATGCATGTGACTGTTCAGCACTTGAGATCTAGCTAACATGACTCAGGAACTGAAGTTTTCCTTTTATTTGATTATTTTTTAAAAAGTTAATATTAAATAATTACAGGTGGTCAGCATCTCCCACATTGGGCAAATCAGGCTTAGACCATACACTTGATGCCTTGCTAGTGGTTTGGATTTTTGAGGATTCATCAAATATTTATGGGAAGAAGGTGATTAAATCAATCTTTGAAAAAGACAAAAGAGAAAAATACGAGCATGGGTAAAGGTAGCCAAAGATAGAAGCAGGAGCTGCATAATAAATTGGGGTGGGATGGAGGTGATCATATAGCCTCAGTGATATCAGGAGGGAAGGCAGAACCGACATCAAGATGAATTTGTTGTACAGAAGAGATAATTATTGAAGGCCAGGTGAGTAAGAAGGAAGTATGCATTACTGGGGATAAGAAGTTGAGAATGACTTT